AAAAGAAAGCCTAATGCAAGGCAACATCCAAGTATTTCAGAAGCAATAGAAATTCAACAAGCTCGAGAAATAGATTATGCAAGAAAAACAACGGAATGAAGCCCGGTAACATGTAAACCTCTAATTTGAAATGAATAGTTTGAATGTTAAAACATTTATACATCTGCAAGTTGGGTCGAGAAAAAAATCTGGACGAGGACTAGCAGATCTATATAAGCGCAATAACTCATCAGGCTGTTGTTTCGATGTACAAAATGAAACTTTTTGGATCTAAGCCTATAAATTCTTTCTTTAAGCAGTCCCTTAATCAAACACAAAAGAAAAGAATAAAGGAAAATCAGTTACAAAGGATCGGTGTATCACCAGGAGCAGAGTTGATCTTCGTCATCAAACTCGACGCCTAGCATGGCCGAGGCTACATGAGTTTTCATTTCACTTCTAATCTGCTGAAATTGAGGGTAACAATCAATTAAACTGTTGTTACCTGGCAAGATAACCTTCTTGTTGATTAAGCAATGGCGTTCTATTCCCCGGAGTATGGCTATGATCTCGCCCATTTCAGGCCTATGTGATTCTTTACTTTTTAAGCAAGCAGCAGCGGCTTGAACCATCTGAGCTATCTGATTTGCATTCTTTGTAGTGAATCTTAGGCATGGATCAAGCAAATTTTCAATGGCTCCTTGCTGCAATAGCGGCTTTGCCTGAAAAGGTAGAGCAGGGTTCATTTATCTTTAAAAAACATATCACATAAGAATGAATCACTCTGGCAATCAAAACGAATTACAAGATGGGACAAGAGGTTGAGGTCCATTAATTTCTGTGTTTCAATTAGTTTCAGTCTATAAATTTTAACATGGTATTAGAGCTAAAACTTCTTTAGTAGTCAATGTCCATTTTCCTGTTTAGTCATCTCCTAGAAAAATAGGAAAAAGAAAGAGGTTCATGAATTCATGATCAAAGACGGAGCTCCCACTATGTCAAAACAAAAAACTTCTATTTCTGCTCCTCCTTTGATGAATCAGCTCGCAGAACTTCCTATGTCCAAAGAATCTAAAAAACTGAAATCTAACACAATATGAGAAGTAGAGTCGTGTCCCTTTGATCCAAATCCTTCTTCAAGAACTTCTCCTTCGCCTTCTTTGTCTCAACCTCTCTTCAAATTATAGTTTCTAACATGGTATCATAGAAAAACAAGTTTTGAATGGTTTTCAGTCTATAGTTACTGAAAGATTACATAGCATGCTAATCAATTAAATTCGGTTCAAAAAACCTTACTTGCAAACAATGAAAAGCATAATTTCAAGATCTTGGAGTTTGAATCTAATTGCAAAGTTCCACTCTTCATTTTGAATTTTGTAGCACTCCAAAGTCCTAGAACTCAATCACAATGTAAGGAGTTCTTTGTCCACAATTTAAGTGCATGGTTTTGTGAGATATCTACCAAATGGCAGTTTTTGGTCCTATTATGCTTTGGTGTATTTTCATAATGCGGGATAGTAAGAAGAAAAAATGGCACGGCGTCTCTCAATGAGCTCCTCAACACTATCCCAAAAGAGTTGAACGGTGCCAGTTAATTTCAGACTAGCAAATTGAACTCTCCGGTCTTATGGGACCCCATACTAGGCAAAGAAACAATCCATATCTCTAATTCATTAAGTAAATAACCTAGGGTCTGAGCAACCATCAAAGGTTGGAGCATTCAATTTAATATTTCTAAAGAAACGCTCCTCGTGGCTATGAGGTGACTCAGTATCTTGACGGTGATATTCTCACTCCCGTTTACGAACTTGATGTCCATCCCTACGGTCACATCTAACATGTTGTCGGCCACCTTGTGGACAATGATAATGCACGCTTCAGAGTTTTCAGCTTCAGTCGAATGTGGGATTTGCTCAAAGGTCCTAACATCGAGGTTTCTATTCTCTTCACGAGTAGAGTCATCTCAGTTTGGACAACCGTTAATTGAGTCTATAACTGTTGTTGGTTAGAAGCAAATTTTGCTAATTGTCGGGTGAGAGCATCAAATTAGGAAGAGTCCATGGTCAGGGTACTGGAACTAAAGGTGATAACACGACCACTATGCAATTGCATACAATGCAATGTCGGCAAAATGAAATGCAATAGAGAGATCAATCAACAACAAGTGCCAATAATTTAAAAATAGCAATTTTAAATTTTAAATTTAATAAATTTTTTTTATTTATTATTTTTTAAAAAAATTTGGGCATTACGTAAGTCCAAAAATGGCAAGCTAATAATGTGGATGCGTAAAACAATAAAGCAAGGGTCCAAATAACTAGTCAAATTCTCCAAACAGTTTATAAGTAAGGTAAAATGGACAAGTCAATTCAATCAATGATTTCAATCAAATTGGGTTTAAGGCTAACGTTATTAGGGTAGCAGCAACACACAGACTTTAAACGATGCGATTTTAAAATGAAGCAATAGCATAAACCAAAGATAAATAGAGGACAGTGACTCCTTGTTGTTGAATTGCAAAGGTGGTGGCCACAGAAAGTAACGGTAGGAGGCGATGACAGCAGCAGCAAGGACGGTCGTGATGGTGGTGTGCTATGAAATTGGCAGCCGCGGACAAGGATTGAAGTCGAGGTGGTGTCTCAACCAATTAAGTGTGGCTACAGTGGCGACAGTGCTGGTGTGCAGAACCGTCGGTGATTGAGTAGTTCGGAAATGGGATGTTACGAACATGTCGATGCTAGTGTGCAGAACCTGTTGGTGACGAGGTGGTGTTGATCGTGTGTGATGCCGGCAATTTAGGGTTGCCGGCAATTTAGGGTTGCCGGCATTGGCACTGGGTCGTGTGTGAATGGGTCATCGGCGATTTGAGATTTGCAGCTACCGGCAAGTGAGGAGATGAATGCGACGGGTTGAATCGGGTTTTGGGATGTGGTTGTCGGTGACGCAATTGGGCTATGGTGGCAGGCGACGAGAAGGAGATGAAGTGGTTGAAGGTGCTGGTGATGAGGAGGATGTAGGAGGCAGGGGAAGGAATCGGGCTTGGAGCTGAAAAGTAAGTGAGTTGGGGTTAGGTGTTGAGGTTAATTGGGCTTAGGTGTTGAGATTAATACAATAGTTTCTGTGTAATGGGCTGAAAAAGAAGCGGGCTGGGAGGAATTAGGGTTAAACGAATTGCTTAGTTTTGTAGGTAGTTGGGTTGATTTAGGATTATGCGAGAGTGGATTAGAATGTTATTAGATAAAAGGATTGGATTTGAATGTTATCTAGATAAAATGATTAAATGTGGAGAACAGCAGCTAACAATAGGACTCATAATGAAAAAATATCTTTTTTTTTTGTGACTAAGGAAGGAAAACTAGAAAAATAAAAATTGCTGCCGCCACAAATTCTTTCTTTTGCGTTGTTCCAAGATTTTGGAGAATTGATTAATGATTCACAATAAAAACATGGCGGAGGGGCGGGGTTTGAGAGAAAAAGACGGGAAATTTCAAGATTGTAATTAAGTTCTTCCCAAGCTTTTGACTCTGATACCAAATTTGATGTAGAACAAAATAAAATAATTAATGGAAAATGAGAAATAAATCAATAGAGAGGAGGAAATTAGAGGCAGGAATGGCAGCAGAAGAACACAACAGAAGAAGGGAATGAAGGATAGAGGAAAATGAAGAAACTTTGGCAGCAAACCACAATTATTTTTATTCAATCATCAACTGTCACAATATGAAAACCATATAAATAGTAAAATATAATCCTACTAGTGATGGGCTTAGGTCAACCCAATAATACAAGCTCAATAATTAAAAACATAAATAATGAAACAAATCCCTAATAGAAAAATGATGTCCGCATCACTATTCCAAAATACATTTTACACAAAAAAAAATTGGACTCAAACAAGCCATATATAAATGGCATACATGCACTTTTCATCATACTGAAACATTTTCAGTGTGTGGCAAAAAACAATTTGTTATGGCCCTGATACCAACACTAAAAACATAAAACATATAGAAACCTTACTTGATTTCAAAGATATTCCAAGAAAACTAAGATTGCATCACTTGCCTTCTTTTCAACAAGATTGGAGCACCCTTTTTGGTCTAAACTTAATCACGATTAAAAGAGCTTGTTTCTCACAATGCCAGGGCCAACTTTGGATGAATTTATTGATTAACAAGTCTCAACCCTTTTCTTAAATAGTCTCTATTTCATACACCAATTATCTGTTCTTTTTCATATATTCATGTAACTCCCATTGGC